CCTGTACCCTCTCGCAGTCTGGGACCCCTCGGGTGATATCCACCTGCTGGCTTAGGGAGCAGGCCTAAGCTGGCAATCAGACATCCCTCTGGCAGCCTGGGAGCCCTCGGGGGATGTCCAACTGATGTCTTAGGCCTGCTCCCCACAAGGAGCAGGCCTAAGCCACAATTGGACATCCTTAGTGCTGCTGAGGAGGCAGGAGAGGCTCCTGCCACCGCTGCTGCACTTGCAGCCGTCAGCCTGGCTTGTGACTGAGTGGCACTCCCCCTGTGGGAGCTCACTGACCACCATGGAGCAGCTTCTGCATTGAGTGTCTGCCCCCTAGTGGTCAGTGCGCATCATAGTGACCAGTTGTTCCTGGTCGTTCCTGGGTGTTCCACAGTTAGGATCAATTTGCATATTACCCTTTCATTATATAGGTTTAACACTAAAAATGGCATCATGACTGTGGGGGGTGTGGGTGGAGGTGGAAGAGGTATTAGGGGGAAACGATGATGGGAAAAATAAAATAAAGAAAAAAAATGGCACCATGACAATTTCCATTGTATACAGTGGAAAATGTGCTTGGTTATATTAATGTAGATCTTAGAGGTTAGCAAGGACATATATATCTGACACATCACACTTTAAGAAATAGTAAATTTTTACTATTATACAAGTGAGGGTATATATAGTGAGTGCTACATCCGAAGAGTTTATTTGGGGGTAAGAATTATGAGCATAATTTTGGACCCTCAGAGAATAAAACTTAAGTTGTGATATTGCTTTAAAATAAACACATGCCTTTTAAAAAAACAATGTTTCCCATTATTTACATCTTTTCATTCTCATCTTATAATTTCCCCAAAAGATTCAAATGAGGAGAATTCATCTTCCATCTTTCCTTATGGAGAGACCTTTCTCTTCCAGAGACTAGAAACTTCCAAGGTTTGTTCCATTCATTTTAATTTTTTTCATATTATTTACTCTTCTGTTTATACTTGCTGCTTCATTTTCCTGTATGTTGTTTGAAGACTGTGTTATGTTTAAGAATGAAATTTTCAGTCAGTAAAATTCTATTCCATAAAATCATGATAAAATTTTATCTTTAAATATATATTACAAAAACAAATTTTCAGTTTGATTTCAGAAATAAGGGTTAGTGTGTGTTCAAAGTTTTGTGCAAGAGAAGTTAAAAAAAATTATAAAAAGGAAAAGCAAGCAACCCCTTCTCTCCCTCCCCATTTGCTTTGCATTATACCCAAATACAGACTTCTAACTAGTTACATATCTTAATTATTCAGTTTTAGTCTTTTCTCTTCAGTGTCTATGCTCTTTGCTATTTTATTTCTTGGTCATGATAAAAAAGAAGTTAGAAGACAAAAGATATTGGGAAAGTAAAAGTAAATAAATTTTATTCTTGGTTAGCATATTATGTTTTTTTTTTCTTGAAATTATGAGTTATTAATGATTGAAATTAGTTATTGAAAAAAACATCCAAAGGCTACTGTTTAATGGAGTCTTCCTAATTACATTGTTTTTACTGATAATTGACCTAAGCAATTAGACATTTGGATAATATAACTAAACCCAGATATTGTGGAACTTTGTAGAATATTGAAACCCTAAAAAAACTGTATGTATTTTTTTAATAGAAAAAGTCTATAAGGAATGAATTTTGGGCCCATGAAGAAACACTCAAAGGGAAAGCAACAACTGAAAAAAACTCTTTTCTTGTCCAATCAAGGTATGAAGTCATGACTAATGATGATTAATTCTTTGGAATAAAATGTTACACGATGTTGACTTCTTGCTCATATTATGTTTCTAAGAAAATAGTTTACATTGGTAAGTTCAAATCTTTTTTGATATTTTTTTTCCTTTGATTTTTGAAGAGTGGAAGGGAGGGAGGAGAGAGAAACATCGTTATGAGAGAGAGACATCGATTGGTTGCCTTCTGCTCATGCTCTGACTGGGGCCAAGGATCAAACCTGCAACTCAGGTACGTGCCCCTGACCAGGAACTGATCCTTCGGCCCTTTGGTGCATGGCCCAGTGCTCTAGCCACTGAGCCACACCAGCTAGTGCAGCAAATCTTTTCTTTTTAAATGCGTCAATAGCAGAACTCATTTTAATAATTGAATTTAGAGTCTGTAGACCAAGTGTGTTCTGTGACAGATTACTTTGGCCTTCCTCTAATTTGAAACCACTCTCCCCTTCCCAGTGTGGCAAATGCGTGGTGACTGTGATTGCATTTTAAGGATTAGGAGAAGTTAGTTAATCTGGAGGAGAAAGGAGCAGTGCAAAAAACTCTGTGAGTTTTCACAAATGTAACTTAGTACTTTTTTATTGAACGTTCTGCATTGACAAGTGGCTTGAAAATTACCCACTTATTTGGATCACGCATGAAATTAATCAGAATTTCTGAGGCTCCAACATAAATTTTGTTTTTCTCTCAGCTTTATTAGGACTTGGTTTACTGGTTCATTACTTAACATTCGTTTTATCTTCCATTTTATCCTTCTCTTTCTGAAGGCTGACACTGTTGTGGGTTTCCCTTCAACAGTTGAAACTAAACGTAAGGAAAATAGAAAAACTTAAGGAAGATACTAAAATCCTAGTTCAGCAAGCACTTGATAGGACTCTATTATAATGCATAACGTGGAAGGGGCCAGGCTAAATCATTCTTTAAGGAAGTTCTGGTTTTTAGAACACTGTATCCAGAAGAATGTAATTGGACCCCTAAGCATATGTTTTATTGATTAGAAAAAAACCTCCTTTATGGGTTATAGGTTTTATTATACATAAATTACTCAGTGACTCTGTTTTGTCATCCCTGAAATGTATAGCGATATGCTTAGCTATTATGAATGTGTTCCAGCAAATAGTATATGCTACACCACTCTTCTTAGTGTAACCCTGACCCTTTCTCATTTTCTAGCGAGCAGTGTGGTCTGGTTCTTCCTCATTAGTGTTGCAAAATAATACTAAAGCTCTCATCAGTCAGGACTCCCTGTCCTATTACGTTGTACTGGAACATAAGGTCCTGGGAGTGGAGAGTCAAAGAAGAGGCAAGGAGTTTAGAAGAAAGATCTCCAAAAACATACGTTAGTCGTTCATGATGTTGCCCAGGGACCAGGGTTGGGCTGGCAGCTTAATGGTGCTGGTGAAGATGTTTAAACTGTATTGCAAAGATTACAGCCAGTCTCCCATCCTTACCACCTGAACCCAACCCCCAAAATAAGCAGATAGGATTAAATGATACGCAAGAAAAAATATACTACTTCTCGTAGTGTTCAAATAGGTCTTAGGATAATGAGAGATTTGTATTTAATTTTCTTGGAAGAATTTTAAAAATTACCAGGTGAATTAATTGAATGCTAAGATTTTCCTGGTCTGAAATTTCTGCGGTGGGTTGTTTATAAATGTAAAAAATAACCGATGGCTTAAATGGCTAAGCACTTTGAAATGTTGACACTATTTTTTTCCCTTTAGCATATATGATAACAGGAAGGAGAATGTAAGTGAGGACAAAGTGGAAGATATTTGGATACCTCGAGAGGACAAAAACAATTTTCCGACGGGCGGAGCTGCAGATTCAGAATATTCAACAGTAGAAGAATGCTTTCAGAGTTTAAAAAGAAAAAATTCAAAGGCATCTAAATCCAGGACTCAAAAAGTATTGAACTTGGACCCTGTTAATAGGCATAGTTATCCCTTAAGCTCCACAAGTGGAAATGCTGATTCATCAGTCATTTCCTCAAGTCCAATATCTCCTTATGCCTGCTTTTATGGATCGTCTGCGAAGAAGGTTAAATCGGGCTGGCTAGACAAACTCTCTCCTCAAGGGTATGTATTTGTTCACTTATTTTAATAAGTAACATATTTTCAAAAATTCAAGTTTATCCATTTCTAAACCTGCAAGGTTGCTACTCACCCCCCTTCCTTCACCCCTCGTCACCATGCATACAGATTGTTTTTCTGGACTTTCAACATGCTTTTGCAAATGCTGTTGTTGAGAAGTAAGAGAAGCCTGTGGAATATGCTAAATGGAATGAGGGGTTGAGGGGTGCTGAAAAGCAGATTAAAACTGGAAGTTATGATTTCGCCTCTAGAACCTTAGAGTGAGTTTCTAACTTTGCACCAAAATTCACTGTTGTGTCCCAATTTGTAGCAAAGAAAACAACAACACAGATTGAGTTAGTATCATTCAGGCCACCCTGTTTGGCTTTTGCTCATCTCATAACAGTGTTCTGTTTGGGAATACAAGGCTTATTGTAGTTAAGGGAAAACACGTCATTGTTAGATTTCAGCCTTCACTGTTATTAATATATTGTTTTGAATTTTGTACGTTGCACAGAAGGTCAGAGTTCCCTGAATATTATACTTTAAAAAAAGACTTATCGTTCCTGTTTACGAAGGAACTTCTGTCCCTTAAGCATTTTATAGTACTGAGAAGTCTTTGGGGAGGGATTATGTTTAATTAGAATTGTTTTCTAGCATCTTGATTTTGGATGTCTCTTTGCAATACTTATTTGAAATGTTCCTCATGAATCATTAAGTTATGTTTGGATTAAACCTCTCCTGTTTAAGTAATTAGTGTGATGGATCTCTACAATGTGCTGGTTTTCTCTGCTATTCCCTCCTCCATC